TTCATTTTCCGTCGGTCTTAGTACACGATGTAACTACAGAAGAGTCAAGTTTTAAATAGGAATTTAGGATAGGCATTTTTGAGCGAGATGCTAACGGTCTAATCAGATTCAATGATCTATGCTAAGCTACAGCTAAAAGTGCTACCGCCAGACCCGGAGATCGGCTGAATGGATTCGAAAACGGTAAAACTCAACTGTTTAACTCTAGGGGAGTTGGAAAATGAGCCTATTTTCAAAAATAGTGGAGTGTTCCTTTAAATTACAGGGGGGGAACTTAAAGCAATGTTAAATTATTTTAATAAATTAATTTATATTCATAATTAAGAACAGTAGTGTCTTCAATTGCATTTTATTTAAATAAGGCTATGTATTACATTCAATAAATTATTATTGTCAACCTATTTGTTTTTTTTTTCATGTTGCTGATGCCATATTTTAATAATCAAAGGCTGTAGAATTTTGAAATTGACACAACTTTACCACACAATTTACCAGCCTGGCTGATACACAGCATCTGTTCTCTGTTCTCTATTATTGAGTTCAATTTCCTGTAACAGAAAACAGTCCAGACACTCAGACTCAAATATAATCATTCCTGTAAGCTAGCTGAATTTATTTGACCAGTAAACAACTAAATGCATCTCTGTAGACATCTGAAACACAACAAACAGATCTAATGCACAGATTCATCAATACATCTCTTCTTCCATTGATCATCTGTCAGTTAACTGTCTGCTTTCAGCACAGAATGCCACTCAAACCAGTGACACACACACAGTTGAAATCCTCAGCACTAAAGTAGCGTTTCTGGTTGAAATGATTGTTACATTGCTGTGGCTGACACAGTTGTTCAGACACACGTCTTCAGTTGTGCTGGATACTGCATGCTGATCATGTGGAATTTCATATTTTCATATCATTTTAATGACATTTCCCCCTTCCATTCTCCTTGCCGTAAAGGTATGGTCACATTTCCTGTTTAGCGATATTTCGTCATTTCAATAGGAACGGGCACAATCAGAAGATAGTGGGGGGGACTAGCTGAATTTTTGCTAAACCACTTACTCTTTTCAGAATAAGCAATTACTTAACAACCAAAAAACATATCTCCTATATAGTATAAATGTATGTATTTGTTGCTGGAAACTTTGCATGGTTAGGCACTGTGTTAAGTAATAAGAAATTCGATTTGACTAAATAAGTAATAACATTTTACTAATTTACCAAATACATATAATTTAGCATATAATTATAATAATGGATGGTATATACAGTGTTGGGAAGGTTACTCTGGAAATGCAACTGGTTACAGATTACAAGTTACCCTATTTAAAATGTAAAAAGTTAATGTAAAAAAACGATTTCAATGGATTTCAACAATGGATTACATTTGTAAATTCCTAATGAATGTTTTTAACTGTTAATCATTTTGAAACATTTAAAGCAGGCATTTACAGTAGAGCTCAACACTGCTTACTGTCAGACTTTCAAAATCCTTCATCGCTTCAATTAAGATCATAATAATTACATTTTAAAGCACAGCCACCACAAAATCAGACTTTAGCACCGCCTTCTACTTTGAGATCATTCTGAGGTTAAATACAGATTTAAAATCATAAGATATAGTTTAAAAGCTATGATACTGTTTTTGAAATCAAATCTTTGCATAGCTATGACAGCAAACACTGGCATCTAACAATGCCTTGGGGGGAAAAAACTGTTATCTTAAAAAATAAAGCATATACATAAATAGCAAATAAAACAAATATCAAATAAGCATGCGTCCTAAACTGAATTTGATCAAAATTTGCGTTGAGAACTTTTCGAAATCACGTGGATTTGTAGAAGTGCTGTAAGTTGCAAGTCAGTGACTTCTCCCTGTTGAAAAAACCAGCATATGCTGGTTAGGTATGTTTTGACGATGGTTTATGCTGGTCCTTTTGCTGATTTAAACTGGTCCTTTTGCTGGTTTATGCTGGTCCTTTGCTGGTTTAAACTGGTCCTTTACCAGCAAATGACCAGCTTTAACCAGCAAAGGACCACCAATCCGAATCCTATATCTTGCTCTTAGACCATCCATAAGATCAGTATTGAGAGGCAGCACATGCGTTGGGCACCGCTGAGCTCATAAATCTACAGTACCTGGGTGTTTGCTGAAAGCAGAAGCAGACCTGCAGTGACCCTGGACTGTTTTAATGAAAGCAGGCTGACCCGTGTGTGTCAAGCACTCTCTGTAGTGAACCAGTTACCCTCTTTAAATTGTAATAAGTAGTGTAACTATTTCAATTACTTTAATAATGTAACCGATTACATTTGATTACTTTCTAAATTTACTAAACTGTTAATAATTTTGAAACATTTAAAGCAGGCAGGGTTAACCTCACAGTAGTGCTCAACACTGATTACCGTAAGACTTTCAAAACCTTCATAACTTGAATTAAGATCATAATAATTACATTTTAAAGCACAGCCACCACAAAATTAGACTTTAGCACCGCCTTCTACTTTGAGATCATTCTGAGGTTAAATACAGATTTAAAATCATAAGATATAGTTTAAAAGCTATGATACTGTTTTTGAAATCAAATCTTTGCATAGCTATGACAGCAAACACTGGCATCTAACAATGCCTTGGGGGGAAAAAACTGTTATCTTAAAAAATAAAGCATATACATAAATAGCAAATAAAACAAATATCAAATAAGCATGCGTCCTAAACTGAATTTGAGCAAAATTTGCGTTGAGAACTTTTCGAAATCACGTGGATTTGTAGAAGTGCTGTAAGTTGCAAGTCAGTGACTTCTCCCTGTTGAAAAAAACAGCATATGCTGGTTAGGTATGTTTTGACGATGGTTTATGCTGGTCCTTTTGCTGATTTAAACTGGTCCTTTTGCTGGTTTATGCTGGTCCTTTGCTGGTTTAAACTGGTCCTTTGCTGGTTAAAGCTGGTCATTTGCTGGTTTATGTTGGTCCTTTGCTGGTTTAAACTGGTCCTTTGCTGGTTAAAGCTGGTCATTTGCTGGTTTATGTTGGTCCTTTGCTGGTTTAAACTGGTCCTTTGCTGGTTAAAGCTGGTCATTTGCTGGTTTATGTTGGTCCTTTGCTGGTTTAAACTGGTCCTTTGCTGGTTAAAGCTGGTCATTTGCTGGTTTATGTTGGTCCTTTGCCAGCACATGACCAGCATAAACCAGCAAAAGGACCAGCATAAACCAGCAAAGGACCAGCTTAAACCAGCATCCCAGCGTCAAAACATACCTAACCAGCATATGCTGGTTTTTTCAACAGGGCTCTTATAAAACGGCATTTTTTCCCGGTGTAAACTAAAAATAGTTCAATCCAAAAGTATTGTTTAGTGTAAAACAGGTTGAAGATTAGCAGATAGGCTTTCGATTCATTAAATGGTGAGCTGTTTCCTCTAAAAAGCTGTTTATTCAGCGTAGTGAAGCCTCTACTCCATTGACATCCATTCAAACAAAATGGCCTCTGGTCTGCTTTCCGTTAGCATTAGCCGTTACGCTTTTTGGTTGCAGAAGGTTGCAGGCTTACCTTCTAGTGGCTTTTGGTAAAGTGTCCATCCATATCTGCCAGAAGTAGTAGGTCATCCTTTTTGTCAACTGGTTTTTTTGTTGTTGAAAACTATAAATTCAGACATACTACTTTTTTGGAATACAGATTTTCGCATACTTAATAGTAGGGAAGTATTAGATTTCGAACTGCGACAGCTGTCCACCTTATTTTTCTCGTAAGAGCGGGTGCGGTCATTTGTACATTTTATGTGTCTGGCCATCCCGGTCTCATCCGCTTCCAACTATTCGTTTTTAGCTGGATTTTGCTGCTTGATGATGCAAACTGGTCTGTCTAATGGTGCGTTCAAGTCATGTCGGATAGATCGTATTTACGAGTTCAACGCACATGAACGCCACCACAAAGTCGTTATTACGAGTGGGAAACTCAAAATTTTCTTTAAGCCCCGAGTTTCCGAGTTGGGGGCGTATCAATGAGAAACATAGCGGAATCGATGGATGCAACGTCTGTAGTTGACGGTACATTTTTGTTTAAATTGATAGTTTAGTTGTCCTATAAACTTAAATTGGTCATGTTCTTGTTACGCTGCAAGTTAATGAAATCCAAGTTTAAAAAAATGCTATCATTTTTGCACCTATAAGTGAAAAATCTTTTGATTTGCCATGTTGCATTTAGCTAACAGCTTTTTTAAATCTCTGTATTTTAGCATTTGTTGATGCTAAAAATCAGTTATACTGGGATCCTGGTCTAAAAAAAAAATAAAAAATGCAAAACACACCTGATGCGAATTCTTTGCTCTTCATTTTCTATAAGCAGAGTTAACAGACCCTGTTGTATTTTCTTGTAATTTATTAAAAGAAGGTACACCGCCATCTTGTGCCGACTAAATTGACTTGAACGCACCTCTCGTCGTACTTACGACTTGTCAACTCATGAGTACGAACGTCCCAGGAGGACTTGAACGCACCTGAAGTCCCAGGAGGACTTGAACGCACCTGACGTCCCAGGAGGACTTGAATGCACTGAACGCACCTGACGTCCCAGGAGGACTTGAACGCACCTCGGAACGCACCTGAAGTGCATTACTTCCGCGTTGAAAAATAAGGTGGAAATCTGACGTTGCTCTTGTTTGCCCCGCCCACTCAGAAATCTCATTGGTCCAAAATCACGCAACAATATAACTATGCATAACACATGAAATATCCTGATTCTCTGTCTTGTATAAATTATAAATAAATTATTTGTTGCTGGAAACTTTCCATTGCTACATGGTGTTAGGACACTGTGTTACATTAATAAGAAATTCAATTTTACGGTTTTAGCCAATGTTGAATATAATTATTATAATGAAGTAGTGGAAACAACTCCTATGTTTTTCCCTGTTTCTACTGATTCCAGGGTGAAATGTAAGGCGACAGGTGCATTGGCTGCAGCAGGTGACAGCGCATGAAAGCACATCATCAGTAATGCCCTACCTGAGCGCCACGCGCACTGCGCTCTCGTCCTGTCCGCTTGACATGATTAGATCTGCATCGAGCGATCGATCCTGGAAGTGCGCGGCAGTGCTCGGCTCATACACGCATCAGCTCTGCCATACCCATATACCCAGGGCTTTGATGTGCATGCACCCGCTACAGCAGCGATGCATTGCGATCACGCGACCTCATCTGATCTACACGCTCGCTTCATGAAGACCCAGCCGCAATGCGTCACCAAGCCACGCCTCCCCAAGACCCTGGAGGGTGACGTCACCACACGCATGCTAATCAGTCTGTTCGGCTTGATATCACGTGAGAGGCATCATATCTGTAGGCTCTAGATATTCCAGAGTTCTTCATATTGTGGGATATATCTGCAGAGATGCACTGTTCGCTGCACTGATATGCTTAAGTCATTTCAGTTCAATTTATTTTGAACCTTTATCTTATTTGGTATTATTATTAATTATATTTAATATATTTATCATGTAACTGAATTTGTTTTGTTGATATATATATATATATATAGTATTATTATTATTGAACAGTAGAGATGATTGGTGTGTCATTTATTTATTTTATTATTTTGCTAAATATTGTATTAATCACATCCAAAATAAAGTTTTTGTTTACATAATATATTTATGTGTACTGTGTTTATTTATTATTTGTATATAAATACACACACATGCATGTATATATTTAAGAAACATATGTTATGTTTATATATTTATAATATACATTCTATGAATATAAATATACATGTAAATATTTTCAAAATATTTGCTGTTTGTGTGTGTATTTATATGTACATAATAAATATACTCAGTACACACACATATATTATGTAAACAAAAGCTTTTATTTTGGATGCGATTAATCGTTTGACAGCAGCACTACTAAATACAAATATATATATAGTAGTAATAATAAATTAAATTCATAAAAAATAAATTAATTAAAATAAATTAATAACGTTTGGCAATACTTAGCAATTACACACATCATAAGCACATTACTAATGATCATGAATTGTTTTGAAGTTTGAGTATACTTTCATTTATCAGTGGCTTGGCAAACCATTTTATTATTAAATCTTAATAATAATAATAAATATATATATATAATTAGACGTTTATAGCTAATATTCATTTATACATACATATATATATATTTGTAAATATACATATTTATGTATAAAAATAATTGCAGCACTTAAAGCCTTTATATATAACGCTTCCTAAAGCTATTCTTAATATATGTTGTAATGCATTATATCTTTTCATAAATCATTGTAACCAAAGTTAAAATGCATTATAATATTTTAATTCCATTGCATTTACTCAAAAATGCATTTTTAAAGGTTTGTGTTATGTGTTTTAATGCATTATACTTTTTAAAAGTGTAGCAATTAATAGGTAAGTATTATAATTTATCATAACTGTGGATACAATTATTCATGAAATCATCAAATTTATTATAAGGATCATTACAAAGCATAAACTGTTACCAAATAAAAATATAATATATACCATAAAAAAAACATATTCTGTACATTAGCATTATGCGACAAAGTAGTCAGTGTGACATCAGTGGTTCAACTGTAAAGTTACGAAGCTACGGAAAAACTTTTTTACGCAAAGAAAACTAAAATAACCACTTTATTCCGCATTTTCGTCTCTACTGCGTCACTTTGGACCGGCGTTCACGACAGTATCATGACAGACTACTTTGTCGATCATCTTGGTACTTTCCTGGACCTTGAACGTGGTAGTTACCTTGCTGTGATTTGACCGACACCTTGTGCGACAGATGTATCGTCCAGTAATTAGTGGTTTATATCATCGTGACACTGATGATGATGTGAATCAAAAGTCTTTGCACTGAGCACTTTGCACTTTTTTGCACCTTTCTGACCTCTTTCTGATATTTTTTTAGTTTGTGTAAATGACCATTTTTGGTGAACTATCCTTTTAAGAAGAGAACATGGTTATTTCCTTTTGTTTTTACCACCGAAACTTGGAACCAAAACACAATATGGCATATCAAATCTGATATTTCATTCTATTGTCATCATTTATCAATTCTAATCAAATTCAGAAATGCCCTTTCAACCAAACTGTGACGTCAGTTCAGGTCCACACCTAAAGCTCTAGTGTGAAAGTACCCATTATATTGTTTGCAAAACAGAAGAGGGCAACACAGGAGATGTCCAAACACACACTTTATTGACATGAAGCACAAGCGGAGATATCAGGTGAGTAGTAGCAGTCTTGAGAATGCAAGCAACACTTAACTGAATGGTAACGGTCTTTGTCTTTTAGCAGGGTGAAGATAGAGTCCAAGGTGATGAGCAGGATGATGGCAGACAGAAATAGGACTGCTGACAGATCGAAGGAGCCAGGTACGTATCTCCGATAAGAAGCCAGGTAACTTAGGTTGCAACACGAGTGTAAACAACAAGACCAGACCAGGGTGAAGTGTGGAGTGACTGATTAGAGCGGCAGGTGCAGGTTTGTTCTTATATTAGGATGATATATATATATAATTTAAATATTTTTATATAAAATATTTATTTGTTTGTTTGTTTGTAAAATGTAATTTATTTACCAGTCTCTTCTCCAAAAACAACAACAACCAACAAATGCAGTGGGGAAATATCAACATTATAACTGACCATTCTGGTAATAACATTTTAGTATCATTTTTGTCTAATTTCTGAGCTTGTGTTTCTCTCGTGGACTGAAGCTGCTGTTCTTATCTGAGAATGTAGGTCAGAACAAAACGCTTGTGCTCTCGTTCTCTTTGAGGCTTTGAGGAATTACAGTGTAGGCTCAACACCAAAGACATACCCAGGATCTTGAGGCCCCCTCTTCTCCTGTACCTCCCTCTCATATTCCTTTTTTTCTGTATCCCATCTTTTGTTCTCTTCTCTTCCCAAGTCACTGTATCTCTTCATATTCACTTGCCATTTTTTCCTAAGCACATCTGCTTTCAAAGTCAGTTGTGAAAGTGAAGGTCACCCTGCTGTCTGTTTTGATCGACTGTAGAGTCCGTTTGAGTGGAGATACTGTACATATGTTTTAGCACAGATCTGCATGAGATGCTTGTTTTAAAACATAATTTTTTTTCTGATACATCACATTTCACCTCAAAAAATGTGTATAGTGCGGAGGGTCTTGAACGTGGTAGTTACCTTGCTGTCTATGGGAGGGTTTTGAATGTGGTAGTCACCTTGCTGTCTATGGGAGGGTTTTGAACGTGGTAGTTACCTTGCTGTCTATGGGAGGGTCTTGAACGTGGTAGTTACCTTGCTGTCTATGGAAGGGTCTTGAACGTTACAGATGTATCGTCCAGTAATTAGTGGTTTATATCATCGTGACACTGATGATGATGTGAATCAAAAGTCTTTGCACTGAGCACTTTGCACTTTTTTGCACCTTTCTGACCTCTTTCTGATATTTTTTTAGTTTGTGTAAATGACCATTTTTGGTGAACTTAATCAAAAATATCTTAAATTGTGTTCTAAAGATGAACGAAGGTCTTATGGGTTTGGAACAACACGAGGTTGAGTAATTAATGACAGAATTAAAATTTTTGGGTGAACTAGCCCTTTAAATATTGAAATGGCTAAACTGCCTCAATGATTGACTGAGTATCGTATCTTTCGGTTTATATTGAGAACACCAGAAGCAAAAGTAACAAGTTAATCTAATTTGATGCATGTACCAAAACCTACTTTTGAAAGAAGAAAAAAAAGAAGAACTGTAGAGAAACTTTTAATTTGAAACAATTAGTGTGAAACAAATTTCAATAAATACAAAGAAACAGCACTTAACACACTGAATTAAACACAACTAGTGCTGTCAAACAATTAATTAATCGCATCCATTATTGACACAATTGCGCTTTTAAAACATGATTCATATCACTCGCAGAAATCGAATTCTTGATATCAGCAATTAAATTTCAACTAGTAAAAAATATTATTCTTGATATCAAGAATTTATATCCTGGGAATGGCAATA